TCAAAGTTCATTCTGCAAGTCCAATGCTGCAGGCAAAGCCATGCTACATGGCAATGCACACTTGTTTTTACATCGTAAAAACCCATGTCTAGTTTACTTTAATCTTAGTTAATATACTGGATTAGGGATGTGCAGCTGGTTGATAAAAACTGGATAAATGTACTTTTATTAAAAACCATATTGATTTTGGATTAATCCAAGAAAAACAGTTTGACGTACCTAAATATCTGAAACTTGAAAATGAAAATATTCTGGTTTGGGTTAATAAAAAAATAAATAAAAGTACATTTTAAAAACCTTGAATGAAGGAGGTGAGATTACCTTGAAAAAAAATCTTTAAAGCAACTTCAAAGCATCTTTAAATTCTTCACCCTTCCACTGACCTTTGCACAATCTCACCGTTTCTCCCCTCACCTACATTAGTCTCATCCTCCTCTTTGTCATCTGACGGCTGAATTATAGCACCTACAGATTAATTACTGGCTGGATGAAAGGATGACTGGATAGACAGATGGATGGAAATATGAAGGAGAGTTATAACAGGACAGAGAAAGAGGTTTATTTATGGCGTGGTTTATCACAGAACTATTAAAACTAACAGGGAGGGTGAGGGGTGCAGAGTCTCTGGATGAACAAACCGGTGCACACGGTTGGTGGCAGGAATATTTTGTGTGCAAAGAAGACAGTGAGGGATTGAATGTGTATTTTTTTCTGGTTTCAACCTGCCAAACGTGGCTGGACAATTGAATGATTAAYGAGGAACTGAACTGCAGCCGACACAGAGATTTTTTTCTGTTCACGTGCATGCGGTTGTACTGCGAACACGTCRACGTGTATGAAAATAAACATCAATGCGAGCAGGAATACGTCTCGCCCGGCTATTTCAGGAGATGCGGCACCAGAAATCAGTAAGATTGATAGTTTCTGGCCCGCGTGAACGACTGGCAAATCACGAGCCAAAGAAGAAGCTGTGAGGAAAATTAAAACAACGAACCCGGCGGGACAGCGACATCATTAAACACGGGTAACGTTCAGAAATAAACCTGGTGGCAGTAAAACAACAGAGGACAGCCAGCAAAGGAGTAAAGGTCAAGACTTCACGGTTGGTCAGCAAAGTGACAATATGAAAAAAAAAGTTTAACGGGATTAAGAGAGGCTGCGGAGGCTGTAGTAAGACAGAGGAAACAGAGGAACCTGATGCCTTTCGGCTTTTAAAAGATGCAGTAAATCAAGAAGTGGCTGAGAACCAGGAATCCATTCAAGGAAGGGAGAAAAAGAAACGTGAAATGTCACATATTTCTAAAACATATTCATGAATGACAGAAGTATTACAACTTTCCCTGGAGAATATTACATCATCTGTACAAAACACGCACACACAGACACACACAAGCAAAAGCATTATCGATCTTTCCACAGGTTATATTTGTTTCTAGCTTTATTAAACCAGACTTTATGCCAGGCTGGCATGGCAATGCTAACATTAACGACATTAGTCAACACAAAACATACATCTATAGCAAGAAGCATGTTCATTAAAACATTTTAAAGATGACTAATCATAAACACTCATCGAATCCATGCATTTCCCTCACCAAAACAAGATATTATTAAAGATATTAATAATAATAAATATTAAAGAGTTCACGTAGTGAAAGCCAAGATAAAAAGTCACGAGTTTTTGATTTTTTAAATTTTTTTAACTATGAATATGTACAATAATGAGCAAAAGATGAGAGCAAAATCTAATCTGCTGATAATTACTATTATCAGCGTCATTAATTTTGCAGCTGTAGTTCTGAAGACAAAACATAGAGCAAAAAGTAAAAATATATAAAAAAAATCTAAATGGTATACATTTGTCTGTTTTGAAGAAACAAAGGAACATATATGACCCATCACATCGAAACAAGGATTAAGTCTAAAAGTGTGATGTGGAGATATAGGAAAATAGTGTTTTGATTAAAACGTGTGCACAAACTGCATTTTGTCAACACATAATGAATAAATGCCTTATCAATGTATCACTTGAATGAACTGACTGAAATATAATCACAAAACAAAATGTTAAAGCACTTTTTTGAGCAGTAGCAACAAAAAAACTGATTTTGAGGAAAAAAATGCCTTAAAATTTTGAGATTTTCCCTGTGAGCTAGAAATATTTTGTTTCTTTTTAGTTGGAAAATCTCAATATTCAAATATAGTTTGAGGTTTCCTCTTTATAAGGACATCAAAAGTTCCTCATTAAAATGATATAAAATGAGGATTTAGACTAAATATTTATGTATTATCGTAACCAACAAGACAAATTAAGTCATTTATATGGATTTACTTATGATATCAGAATGATCCAGGTATAAAAATATAGCATTTAAAGCTAAGAATCTGAAAATGTAATTAGGTTGTTTTGACCAAATTTGACTTAATCTTCATTTCGATATGATGGGTCACATATTGCATAAAGTACCTCAAAGTGATACTTGAGTAAAAGTACAAGTATCTTACCATAAAATTACTTGGTAAAAGTTAGTCTCCTTTAAGAACTTTACTTGAGTAACCCTCTTAAAGTATTTGATATTTTTTGGATTCGAGTATCAGAAGTAAATTTCTGACATAAAATGTACTCAAGTATTAAAAGTACTCAGTAAAATGAGCGGTTAGATTTCCAATAATGACCTTTATTGGTAYGTGACAGCAGGTTTTCGTATGGGAAGTTAAAAATTTGCGGCCATCTTTGTGAGAACTTACGTGCTGGAAGCAGCTGCGAACGCTGGGCTCGATGTTGGACCCTCCGAACGACGCCACCTCCCCCAGCTGCCTCGGGATCTGGATGGCTTCGTGGAGCAGCAGACCGAGCTGCCTCTGGTTACAGGTGTCACCTGCTGATGCCACCTGTCTGAAGAGATCTGTGGAGGAGGGAGTAAAAAATAAATAAAATTAGGAAAGACGTGGTGGTTTAAAACAAAAAACAGTGGGAGGTGGGTGATATTGACAGGAAAGACGGGTATAAATAGCAATAGAGGGGAAAAAAGAGTGACAGTACAGCTGCAAGTGGGAGGAAAAGCGTTGATGTGTGTGTGTAGGACACAGAACCCACTAAAACAGATTCATATTTATTCTGAAAGTCTATTCTCATCAGTGCCAGACTCTTCCCTTTCTAATCTCTCCTGTACTCCTCATGAACACTGACGGATATTTTCCTGATAAAGTTACAAAACATCAGAGCAGCGAGGGTAATCCTGGGAAAGAAAGGGACAGGGTGACAGTGTTTATTTATTTATTTATTTGCTATGTCTTTGATCTCTACGTGAAGCGCAGCTCAGATTTTCTAAGTAGGCACGCACGCAGCCACGTTCGCAAATTACGTACACCCATGACCTCCGCTGATCAACACCCTCATCGGCAGCTGAACACTTTSTGCTGCGCAATTAAATATGACATTTTGACGCCGTTACCAGGAATGTCAAATGGRGGAACACTTGGTCAGGTGTGTGCGYGATCTAGTGAGAGTGTACGCACGAAGGGCTGACAGTAAATGAAACTCAAAGAGAATTTAAAAAAAGGAAGAACGCAATCAACCGCGCTTGATACCCTTCTCAGGCTAATAGAAACTGCCAGTGGAACGAATAGGCTCGGGGATAGGGTTCATGCCATGGCAGGGGGAAAGTAAGGGGAGGCAAGAGTAAGTAAGATAGGCCGACAGACAAAGTGGAACTGTTAGACAGATGAACGAAGGTTTGAGCGGTGACAGCGGAGGAAGATAAAGCAGCACAAAGCGCAGCGAGCCAGACTGACAAGCCGTCTCCCGGTGGAACCAGCTCTCGCTCGCTAATCCTCAAAAATAAACCAGAAAGCAGAATTACATAAAGAACAGGGGAAACGTAGGAGGTCTCTCATCCAATTAGACAAACCAGTCTCCCATTCTTTTTCCACCCCCCCCCCTCGCTGTGAGTTTGATTAATACTACCAGGATTACAGCTGYGGCGGAGCAGTGTAGGTTGTTGCAGACTGACGTTCACGAAGGAGGGCCGGGAACGTCTACGTGTTTTTTTATTTTTGTTTGTTTTTTAGAACAGTGAATGCATCAACTGCTCGCTTTTCACTCACATTTGTACTTTTCTTCTAAGTGGCCCTTGGAGAGCGAGAGCAAGCCGATCTTCATGGACAGGACGCGGATCTTCCCGCTGCGGCCGCTGCAGACGAGAGAGAAACAGAACATGGCAACCACTTAATCATATTTGCTCTTCACCCGAGCCTCTGCGCATCCAATACGCTTATGTTTGTTCTGCTAATTTCAGGCCTGGAATTGCTTGGAAGAACAGTGACAGAAAATCGTTACGTGTTTAGGAGAGGGGCGTTCATCTCAGTATATGTGTGTGTTGTGAAGTGAGAGGAATTGCATTTTCTGTGTTTACACAGTTATCACGTGATGCTGCTAAGACAGATGTGTGTTAACACTTTGTCATGTTTCACAATTAAATTCAAAACACGGCAGCGACTTTTATGCAACATGCCAACACTTCTGACACATTCTGCAGATGCAAAATGCGTGACAATTTTTAAAAAAAAAAAAAGCACATAGGCTGATCCTTAATCTCTGTCCTGAAGGCGTGAACAGGATACACACGTGTCGTAAACGTTGAGCAACCAGTTGAGACACATGTCGACGCAGAGCGGGACGTTGACCAGGTCTTTGTGCTCCTGTTCCAGACCATCGTAGATGGACGTCAGGCAGTTGATGACGTCGGGGACGGAGAGGAGGTGGCTGTTGTTGGTGAGTTTGTGCTGCTCRAAGGTGCTCTGGGCAACACTCAGATCCAGCAGGTCCACTAAAGACAGAATGAAGGGGAGGGAGAGATGARCATTAAAGGGGAGGTATGATGCAAAATCAATAATGTCATTCTCTCATCCAAAACATAACCAGTGTTGTTTTGACTCATTTATGCATGTTTGAGAAATCCTTGAATCTCCTGTAGCCATGTGGAGCTGGCTAAACGCTTGCTGGTACAAAGCACCGCCCATTTATTTCAGATTAGCGACAGCAAAAATTGACAAACACCTGGTGGAACTACACGTCTGTTTTTAAAGGGGCAATATTTACGTTTCTCAGGCACATATTTAAATTCTATACCATAATAAAGTAACTATGTCACCTTCTGTTGTTATTAAAATGCTTTTTATATGTTTAACCCTTTAAGTACCATGGCTATAATGTCGATTTTGGAAACACATTGTTATTATGGTTGTAAAATGGCCAGGATATGTCCTGTTTGAGAGCTTTGAATCTTTTTCCCATGAGTAGTTAAACTTGACTTTTTAACATTTAGTTAATGATTATTGCACATTATAAGGAAATTTCAGCAGTATAAAGGAAGAAAAATACAAAAACGAAAAAAATTCCAAGGTTTATTGAGAAATAATGTTCAGAATATTAATGAAGTTTTGATTTGGCATTTGAAATGTGACCCTATACATGTTTACAATATTTACCAGTCAGTTTTTGAGTCTAGGACACTGGGTGTACAAAATACAAAGCAAAAGATAACTATAAACACAGGCGAAATTAGGCCAAATGTAGCTTAACGTTGACATATGCGTGAGAGAATGACTGGGAGATATGTTACTGAGCTGAAATGTCTTGTAAGACCCTCTCTACTCGCTCCGGTTCGTCAGGAAATGTACTTTATGACCCAAAATGGGATCATTTGAGTGAAGTTCAACTGTATCCTGAGTTGCCATTTTTCAAAATTGACATCATAAAATGTTGCTTGATTTTGTTTACAACAAAATACAACGCTCTTACGAAAGGTTGTAAACTGCATAAAGCATKGTTGTGAAGACGTGCTGARGTGGGAATGTTGGAAACAGTAGGAGGTTTTTAAAAAGACYAATTTCAAGGAGGTTAGATGGGCTATGATGTGCAGTGATACATACAGCATTTTCAGAACAACTGAAGGTAACATAGCTACTTGATTGTGGTTTTGAATGGAACTATGTGCCTGGAAAAYGCACAAACCCCACACTTTAAGAAAAAAACAAGTTTCTATTGAGAGCAGAATCAAAAAGGACATAAGGCAGAGTGACAGAGAAGAGTTTGACACGTTTTATAAAAACTTTTTTCAATGTCAGTGAAGATTAAAAGTGTTACGTTCTGGCTTGTTCATGTACTTTTTAGCTGCTGCTCCAATTTTACAAAAAAACGTCAACAAATTAAATCTGAAAAGAACAAGAAACCAAAATAGAACATACAGTACTCCTCCTAAAAGCACAGAYATGACTAATATTTTATTGAAATATCATTTTGGTGAATTATTAATTAAGGAGAAATCAGAGCTTAAAAGCAAAAGAGGTTATAATGTAGAAAAAAGTGTATTTTTTTCCTGTTAAATTGTTCACATCTTTAGACAAAAATGGACCAATATGGTTAAATCAATATCTCATTATCTCCATCATGTTCTTTAAAGTAGTTCTCATGCTCGGTAACAAAGTTTAGTCTAGTTTAATCACCCAAGACGAATGTGAGTACCAGATGTAAACAACAGCAACTCATTGAGATGAGATGTTCAGCATCTTCATAGCTAAAAAGAATGGCTTCACCCTTAGGATTTATAGGATTATCCCAACCTGAAGGCCAGATTATTAATTAACTTAAAGCGTGGTAAGAATCAGCACATGACACAGGAGACAGAGACCATGTTTATACATGAATTCATGAAAATGATTCTCTCCACTGCTCAGCTCCAAAGACATCACTAATTAATGAAGTTAATTCACATGGAGCAGACACAGCAGGGCAGCCATGCTGTCAGATGGCAAAACTTCACTTCTTTCCAGCTTTGTCATTACGCRAAGCTAAAAGGGTTGTGGCACATTAGTGAGAGGCTAATTTCTGCTTCTTTAGCCTCCTGGCACAAACYTAACCCAATTATCCTTATTATAATGTACGTGTGCTGTTCACATGTAAACACACAAACATTCAGACAGGAACATACAGGTCTCTAAACTCATGAATCCAGACTAAAATTTAACAACTACTGATCCTTTTTGTTTTTGTTTTTGTTTTTGTTTGTTTTTTTTAGCAACGTGGCTGTTTTAATCTAATCTAAGGAATGAAACTGAACTGCAGTGCCCCACAAAATCACTCAGGCTGATGCATTCTCTTCAGAAATGCACACGTGTTTAGAGAAGCAATCTGACATAGTAAACCAAAATACGCCGGGTGTTGAGCGAAATGTGTTCGTGCATAGGACCAAACCTTTTCTCTGTCTTCGCCGTGTGAACCGGGCATACCACAAAGATGCAAACTTGCTACACAATAAATAAATAAATAAATAAAGCCCACTTGTGCAAATCACATGGGGGTAAATTCTACACCTGCAGCAGCTGTGGCAGTGTGTGGACCACATCACTAGCTGGGTTTCCATTGACCATGAAAATGTGCAAATTAGAATTTCGAAAAAAAATTTGCTCAAAAAACGCGTCAGTTTCAGAGAAAAATATGTTTTTTGACAAAATGTTTTTGCGCTAGGATGAGGTGGTTTTTTGGCCGTATCGAAATTGGTGTTTTTCGCAAAACTGCAATGGAAACAATTTTCGCATCACGGGAGTCACGTGATCAACAACCGGCTGTTTCTACTGGCGAAAAAGACGGCGAAGAAGACAACAAGAAGTAGAAATAGTAGTAAAATCACAGAAGTAGTAAAATAAAGTATTAAACTCCCCGACTACAATTTCCCAAAAACACAGCATACGTAGCCGCTCCCAAGTAGGGACTTGTTGCTGGAAAGCCTCGATAAAAGACGCCAACGTCTCCTCTGATGATGAGCGCTGAGTGTTTACATCCACTGCTGCCATGTTTGTAACGACTTATCGCGAGAACGTACTCACGTGTGACTTTAATAGCATTTCTTACTTAATGGAAACGCAGCAATTGCGAAACTGTGTTTTTTCGACATTAACAGAATATCGACAAAGTTTTGCGCACATTTGCAATGGAAACACAGCTAGTCACACAAAAACACACACAGACATATACTGTATGTATTTATTTTACGCAGCCAACGTTTATTCATAAAGCAACATACTCCTGGCACCTCTGTTGCTTTGGCAAAGTATAAAATCATTACTGCAGCCTCTAAATATCAGACATGCCTGACCACAGCTGTAAATATTAAGGTTTTTAGTGTGTGTGTGTGTGTGTGTGTGTGTGTGTGTGTGTGTGTG